ATATATATATATATATATATTTATATTTATATTTATTTAAAAAATAAATTTACTCTATTTAATAACTAATGAAACACAGTATATAATTTTTAAATTTTTAAAAAAATTACAAGTTTAATTTATATATTAATAACTTTAAATTCAACAATTAAATTATTAAAATTTGATGTAAAACATGAATTATTAAATATAATAAATTTGAGTAAATTTACTCTTAAAATAAACAGATCTCCTCATTCATATATATATATATATATATATAGATGATTCTATTTTTTATTCGAGATATCAAAATGTTCCACTGGTTGAAGTTTTGTTTTATTTTATGCTTAGCTGCACCACATATAAATTAAATATAAATCATATTTTATTCCTTCGGATTCTAATAGCTCATCACGGATTATCATAGGAGTGACACAAACCCAGAATAATATTTGAATTTCATGTCGGTGTTACCTATACTATAAATTAGCTTATCCTTTAAAAATATAGGCAGCACTCAACAATTGTTATATTATTCTTGAAATTAAAAAATTTATAAAATTAGTCTCTAAAATATTAAACAAATCCTTATGTACATATACTATCACTTCACTTAGTTTTTTTTTAAAATTTTATCTTAATATGATTGTCAATTTACCTAAATTAATTTTAAAGACTAATATTTTTCAGTTTTTGACAAGTTTTTCTCATTTTACTAGATTAAAGAACTCAAAAATCAAAGTATATGTTTCCTCACAAATATATTTGTAGAAACAGTATAATCCGGTTCAAATAAAAGTTTATTGTAAACTTTTTCATGCAAAATTTAAAATAAAATAAAATAAAATAAAATAAAAAGAATAATATAAAAAGAATTAATCATTTATATATTATTAGTGTAAAAATTTTTACACTAATAATCAATCAGATCTTTTAAATTATTTTATTTTATTTATTAAATAAATAACTAGCATGATACTATTAAAAGATTTAATTAATTAATAATGTAAAAAAAAAAATTATATTAACGTTATATAGGTCATTAACTCATAAAAAAAAGGAACATATTGCTTGCCTTGTATGACTACGAGTAGGGCGAAACGTGCACTGATGTCTGGCAGCCGCCCTCCCCTGAAAAAGTAATTGAATGAGTTAGCTGTTAGCATATATACAATAAATAAATAAAAATGCCGTCCCACCAGTATTTGATATTTGACCTTAATTCATTCAGACAAATATATTAATAAGCATTACCCATCTTCAAAATTTATCCAACCAACTGTTGTAACTTAATTTATATGTTTTTTTTATATTTATTTTCATCTTTTTATTTTTTCAGTCTATAATTTTATTTTAAAATAAGATATTTAATCCCTTTATTTTTAGAATATTTGTTAATAGTTAAATTTTAATATTTATTTATATTTACATAGTGTGGCATTTAGTTACATAATATTTGAGTTTTTTTTATTTTTTTTACTTTTATAGGGTAATTTTTCAAACTAATTACATAAATGAAGTTATTTTAAAATTATTTAAACTTTTGAAACTGGTATTTTGTACTGTGTGATTATAGGTCATAATATTAATAACTCAAGTGACATGTGTTGAGTCACAACTAATAGCAATACTAATGAAATTACTGCCAACTATAGCGACATGTTATATAGTGCCATATGTTGACCTATTCATTTTTTTTAATGGGTTACTATGAGCTATAAACCCATTTTTCAAGAAAATAAAAAATTAATGATTATATAGAAGGATTAAATTCTAGTATAAAAAAAATATTAAATTCTAGGTCATGCCACGTTGTGAATTTTTTTTTTCAAATATGGTCATTAAAAGTAAAATAAAAATTGAGAATAAGTAATAAAAGTATATTGGTTTAAATGTTGTTGCAATTGGTCCCGAAACTTGAAGGTCTTGGGTTTGATAAAAAATAGGTTAAAAACCTATTTTGGTTCCTTATAATAATTGTTTGTTTCAATTTAGTCCCACTTTTATTTTTGGTCTCAATTTGGTCCCTCATAAGTTAATTGGTTTCAATTTGGTACTTCCGTCCAAATTATTGAAACAAACAATTATTATAAGGGATCAAAATAGATTTTTAGCCTAAAAAATATTATTTTATTATAATAAAAAAGGTTAATGGTCTACTAAGTGTGATGACCGGTTACTAAAAGGGCATTTCTTTTATATATTAGTACAAATAAAATGTAGAGACCTAACCTTGGTCATGAACAAAAATATATATGGTCACTATGGGTAATAATACCACTAGCCTTGATCGCCTAATGCACCAATTGGAGCGTACCATGTTGAAAAAAAAAATTATCACAATGGGTCATAACGCCACTTTGATCGCCAAATGCTCCAATTGGAGTGTGCCATGTTGAAAAAAAATGGGGTTGCTATAGTTCATAGTTGCCCTGGACTGTAGCGACCTAAAAAAAGTCACCTTGTGTCGATAACGGCCTAATTTAAGTTATTATCAATTGTAACGACTCTTTCTTCATGCCTCATATGACTAAAAAAAAGGTCATATGTCACTTGGGTTACTATTGAACAACTTCAAAGACAATTTTATAAAATACATTACAAGACAGTCGACAATTAGAGATAAAAAAAAGTTAAAAATATGTAAATAAGATTATTAACAAAATAAAGATAAATCATTTTATAAAATAGAAATAATCAAAGATCTTTTATAAGTTATTTTTAATTTTTATTCTTACATGTCATATCACTAAATATCACGTTATTTAAGTAATGACAAGTCATCGATTAATGTTAAATAATGAATAATTAATATCAAATTGACAATAGAATTAAAATTTTCCATTTTTAAAAATAGGAGACTAAATGCCTCTATTTTAAAATAAGATGACTAAAATTGTAGATTAACAAAAATATGACACTTAAAATACAATTTAGCCTTTAAACTTTTATTACTTTTTTATTAGTAAAAAAATAACAAGTTTATAATGATGATAATGACAATTGAATCAAATTTCTTATTCAACTAACTAAACTTTACTCTTTCATTAACCCTTTGCTTAGGAGAGGGGGAGGAATTAAAAGAAAAATGAAAAAATAGGTGAGAATTGATTTGATAGAAAATAGGTAGGAAATAGAGTGAACTTTGTAGTTGATTGGTAGAGTGAAATTATATAAGAAATAAAGGAAAGTTGATATTTTAAAATGGTGTTTTATGAAGTTAAATTTTTATGTAAAAACAAATAACATATACAATTACTATTTTACCATTCTCTCTTTATTCATATCAATTTCTACATTTATAAGTATAATGCATTACTGATTCTACCATATTCAAATATGGTGATTTTCACACATAATGCATTACTCATGTGAAAGAACTTTATTTTTGGTATTACATTATCCATTATGATAATGCATTACACACAAGATGAAACTTTACTTCTTCAATCATTGACACATATAATACAAAAGAAATCGATATTATTTTGTCTTTTTTGCTTAATTGTGCAAAAATCTTCTCATTTCATAAGGTAAATTTTGAACCCATGGAACCCACCATCCTTTTTTACTCAAATACCCCCTAATTCCTTCTACCAATCATAGGTGTTTTTTTTAACATATCTCCTAATCCATCCATTTCCATGAGAACCCCCTCTAAATCTGTAACGTAGTTAGTAGATTGGAACGAAGCGTTCTCAAATTAGAACGGGTCATTCCAAACTACTAAAACAAAGGTGATTTAGTAGTTCAGAACAGGCCGTTTCTAAACTGGGACGAGCTGTT